CAAGTCACAGTACGGTTCCGTTCAACCGGAGCAGTTTTCCGGCAGGGTTTCTGTTCGGAGCTGGCTCCGCCGCTTATCAGGTTCCTTTGTTTTGTCTTTTCTTTTTTTTTTCTCTCCCCGTTTATATAGAGTTCCGACATGTCGTCATTGCCATTTCTGATTATCCGTTTGGTCGACTTGTAGTTGGAAGGAGCGGCGCATATTGATGGGAAAGGTCCTAGTATCTGGGATACCTTCACTAAGGAGCACCCGGGTCTCTCTCTAATGCCATGGATGGAAATGTTATTTTTTTTAATGTTTTTTACTAAAATAGATTTAACCAAAATCAGAAATTTATTTAGCAAAGTTTTAGTTAATTATTTCTTGTTTCTAATTTTATTAAGAAACGTAAGATTTTTTTTATAATTATTTATGCTTCTTGTTTCTATTTTTTTAGAAATATTCCTATAGAAAATTTGGAAACAAGTTTTTTTTTTCCTTTTTAATTTATTGCAAAATATGAATAAAAGATTGTTTTGACGTCATACTTAAATTCATGGATATTGAAGTTATGCAACTTATTTTTCTTTATTAAAAATGAAGAGACAGAAACAACAGGAACGTTACCAAATGGATCCCTGAGTTTCTTGTTTCTAGTCCCCATTTTCAATTTGTTTCAAAACCTGAATAAAAATATTGTTTTATCATTTTCAAATCTATAGGTGTTTGACCCATGCAATTATACTTTTCTTTATTAAAAAGGAGAAACAAAAAATAAAACAGGCCGTAAAATTTTTTTTCTTTTCTTTTTGGAATTAGAATACGAATAAGAGATAATATAATATGGACTAAATTAGCTTTACTTATTTGGAGCTATATACAAATACATTAATGAATTAGTGTGCTAATATTATTGTTAACTGAAACAAATATATATTTTAATTTATTTGATAGTAATATTTTTTATCTTAATAAATAATGGAAATAAAGTTATATCAACTAAAAAGTTAACATGGTAAATTTTACTATTATAATATTTAATAATAATGAGTTATATTTCTAACTTATACTAATTTATTAAATGTACTCTATATTTCTATATAAGATTTTTTTTATAGGAATTTTCGTCAAGAGATTTATCGGTGTGTTGAGAGATCTCTCAACAAAAATTTATTGATCGATGCACTTTTTCGTTCAAACTAAATGAATACAACTCTAACACATTTATCATCTAATTCATTTGGGAATAAAGGTTCAAATTAACACGCTACTAACTTATGAAACATTTTTGATAAATAATTTGGAACCTATAATGAAGGTTGCTATACTTAAAATAACATTGATAAATAATTTGAAGCATATAATATATTATGAGGAAGTTCAACATTATATTGTAGCTGAGTTATCGACTAAAAGAAATAAATTTACAGAAAAAATATGGGACCATAGCAATGGAGATTTGGCTGCCGATTTCTACCATCGGTATAAGGTAAGATTTTTGGAGCCTTATTTTTTAGTTTACGTAACAATCACAATATGAGTGGTAAAAATTCATTATTATAAGTGAATAAATAATAATATCGATAAGTATATTATTATTTTTTTAATTGTCATTTTTTAAGAAATATTTTAATCGTGATTTAATTTGCAGGAGGATGTAAAAATAATGAAAATGCTTGGGTTGGATTCTTTCAGATTCTCCCTCTCTTGGTCTAGGATTCTCCCTAGTAAGCTTTTTTCTTTTTATTTTTTTCCACGTAATTTATTATTTTAATTTTCTTCACTCCATGGTAATTTTTCTTTCGGAAAAAAAATACAGAGGGAAAACTTGGTGGGGGAGTGAATCCACTGGGTGTCAAATTCTACAATAATCTCATCAACGAGCTCCTCGCCAATGGTAATTTTTTCGATTTGGTTATGTTGTTTGGTAAAATGATCGATTTCTTTTTTCTTATTTTTGAAAAATGAAGCTAGATGCATAATCTTGTTAAATTATTAAATCACTGTTAAAAATTTATATTAGAAATATGCTAAATATTTTAAATATTTTTTTAACACCTATCACGAGTTTCATTTATTATTGTTTACGATTTAAATAATTATTTATCAATTTATTTGTAAATACAGGAATAATACCATATGTCACGCTCTTTCACTGGGATCTCCCTCAAGCACTTGAAGACGAGTATGGAGGATTTTTAAGTTCCAAAGTCGTGTAAGTAACACAATACAAATACACCAACTTAAACCTAACTTAAGAGAGGAAAACAAACCAACTTAAATAATATTAATAAAATTGGACATTGATTAAATTTTCTGTATAAACAAATAAATAAACGTAATATTGATTAGTTGAGTTTTAATTGTAATAAAGAGAATTAATTAAAGAAAATTTTGGTGATTAGGGATGATTTTCGGGACTACGTGGACTTGTGCTTCAAATTATTTGGAGATCGGATCAAGTATTGGGTAACCCTAAACGAACCATATACCTTTACCGCTAACGGCTACAACGGCGGCACCTTCGCTCCCGGCCGATGTTCCAACTACGTCGGAAACTGCACCGCCGGCAACTCCGCCACCGAGCCCTACATCGTCAACCACCATCTCATCCTCTCCCATGCCGCCACCGTCGAAGTCTACAAGAAAAAGTACCAGGTGCGAAAATCAAACGAATCCAAGAACGAACACAATTGCAAATCAATCTCTGAATAAACGATGGGAATCTTGTTATCTTGCTGAATTGCAACGAATTTGAAATCTACAGGAGAAGCAGAAGGGGCAGATTGGAGTCACATTGGTCACCAACTGGTTTAGGCCCAAACGCAACACGGCAGCTTCGAAAAGGGCGGCGTCTCGAGTTCTTGATTTCTTCTTGGGATGGTGAGCGTCCTGTTCTTCACTGTAATCGATAATTGTGAACTGCTGGTGGAAATTAATTGAAATAATTTTAGGTTTTTGCATCCAATTACTTATGGCGACTACCCGAAGTCGATGCGCCAGTACGTGGGAGATAGGCTGCCGAAATTCTCTGCTGCTGAGGCTGAAAGCGTGAAAGGATCGTACGATTTTATTGGAATTAATTACTACACTGGGAATTTTGTGGACGATGTGCCTTTCTCGAATTCGCCCAATAAAAGCTACAGTTCTGATATGCACGCCACACTCTCCAGTATGTCTTCTCTTCTCTTCCTTCTTATACGAGATAATTTAATTTAAGGGGAAAAAATCAATTCTTACCTCTGAATTTCACGTTCTTATCAATTACTTAAGCTTGAATAAGTTTTGTAGTTTTTACTTTAGAATAGATTTTCATTCTAAGAATGATGTGTTTTTTCTCTCTTTTGAAATAGGACTAATACAAAATTGATTGGAATTCAAGAAAGATGACACCAAATTGAATTTTGTATTGAAAATTTTGAGTTTTGGAAAATTTGTCTCAGGGTTGATTTTGAACATTGGTTGGAGATTTTGATTGAAATTAGTTGCAATATTTATCTAAATCCAAGGTTGAATCAGATAAGTTTGAGAGTTTACAGTGAATTGATACAGCTTGCTACGTATTCGGGTAGGATAGAAGTTGATTTCTTTTTCTTCCTTAAATTTATTAAATCCATCAATCCTGCTAAGTTTAATCGAAGTTTCCCCTCGATTCTTGATCCTTATTACAAATTATTTTGCTTCAATCTGTTGTTACAGCGGAAAGAGACGGTGTTCTAATCGGACCAGCGGTTCGTAATCTCTCTCTCTCTCTGTAGACTCTAGAGCTGTAATTTTCAGTGCTTTTAATTAGTAGATGAGCCATTGAACAACAAGTAAATAGGGTTTTTTTTTTTGTTTCTACAGACTGGTTTGAACTGGCTTTACATATACCCAGATGGCATTCGTCTACTCATGAAATACATAAAAGAGGAGTACAAAAACCCACCTATTTACATTACTGAAAATGGTGCCTCTCCCTGTCTCTGTCTCTGTCTCTTTAGAGGATGGGTACTTATAAATGGATTTGCTTTAATTTGTTGTGTTTTACTTTACAGGCATGGCTTATTCAGACAATAGCTCACAGCCGATCAAGGAAGCTCTGAAAGATGGAATAAGGATCAGATACCACCATACCCATCTCGCCGCTCTTCTCGAAGCTATAAAGTACGATATCTAATAACAAATGATTTGGTAGACAATTTTTATAGTTCATAGACCTATTAAATGCAATTTGGAAACTTGTCTGTAATAAATGATTTGGGGTTCTTGAAATGATAGGGAAGGTGTAAATGTGAAGGGATACTATGCATGGACATTGATGGATGACTTTGAATGGGACGCGGGCTATACGGTGCGTTTTGGGCTTGTGTACATTGATTTCAGGCACAAATTGGGAAGATACCTCAAGTATTCTGCTTACTGGTTGAAGAGGTTCCTTCTCCATTGATCTCTCAGCTCTGCAATTAGAAGAATCTCTCCCACTTTGCCGGAGCTTCTATGGAAGCACTGAAAGATTAATAAGGGTCCTCAAGGCTCAAGTGGTGGAATAAAGAAATATGTGTTTTGTTTTTGTTTGTGGTAATTCCAGCCCAGTTGAATGTACAAGTGTTTATGAATCGACCCATCAATTTGGTTATGTATTAAATAATTAAGAAAACAAAATGTTTGAATCTCATTTTAGTATTTTAATTTATTCTATTTTGATTTTTGAACTTCGTGCTTATTTTGATGTGTTACAAATAGATAACGCATCTTAAAGTATGTGTAATTGATGTTTGGCTAAAATGTGAGTGAGAAAGTTGATATTAAGAGGAAATAATAACAATGATTAAAATGGATTATTTTTTTCTATTGTTCAAAATAGTTATTTTTAAAAATTTAAAATTTAAAATTGAAGATACTTCTCATTCTCAAAACACTAGAATTTTACATCGTTATTCATCCTATGAAGTCATTTGAGAGGAATTTCTACAATATTTATGAGTTCACTTTTTATTTCTAAAAGTTCTTCTGAATATAAAAAGACTATTCTAACCCAATGACCCAAAAAAATGTGGTTTTTAAAATAAACATACAATGAGGTCAATCATCAATCAATACATCAGATATTCCAAGGAAAAATCTGCACAATCTTTCACTAACTACTTTATCAACAAGAAGACCTCTGCAACAAAATTGGTTGCTGCTGAAATAATTTCATCACACCAGAATCCTAATGAACTAACAAAAGATTGAAGTTTGGAATTCTTATTTGAATCGATGCAAGTGGTATGAGAATTTGCCCTCACCGTGCTCGGGGTTGCACCCGAGGAAGGAAACCACTGCACCACTCCCTCCCGTCCTTGAGAAAAAGTCTCGAGTCAAGTCTTTTGAAGGCAATGGGCAGACGAATCAATTGCAGAAGAGACGGCAGAGTCCCCGATTTTTCATTCTTCCACTTCATCATCGTTTCAATGTTTTTCTCAACAAAATCGACAGAGTTTTGTAGAAGAACTCCACGGTTACTCCTTGGAGTAATCGTTACACGAATGGCAGAATGAAGAATCATTCCTTTGCATAACCTTTTATATGCTTTAGATGTATCAAGCCTCCACCAAACAGGAGGCTTCTTTGGAAGAAAGAGACCAATGCGGTGAGAGAGAAACCACTTTTCCAATGATGATTAAAGTAGGTGAAACCAACTCTGCTGCTTTGATTTCATCTGCAAGGTCCTTCAGTTCTGCAAAAACCTGCATAATTTGTAGTTGATCCATGGAAAGTTTGTTATAGGCACCAGCAAAATGAAATGAAAGGCCAAGCAAACATGCCCCGCCCCTCGATAAAAACGTCTAGAAGCGGGCATTCTCGAGAACATAGCTAATGAAGTACAGAAGCCAACGCAGATAAGAAAATAGACCTACAAGAGGTCTCCTGAACTCGAGAGCAATCTATAGATCAGATCCCATTTAAGATTTTTTTTTCTTTCTCATAGAAAACGATCGATGAAACGCAAAAGAAGTCGAGCAAAGTTGAGAACTGGAATGACAAGGCATTAGGACTCTCATGAGACTTCTTGAAGAAGCTGTATATGGTTGAACCAAGCCCGACAAAAGTAGAAAGCAACAGAGAATTGTGCTTACAGTTCTTTGTTGGGGCGTTGTCCCTCGTTCAACGGCAGCAGCTGGGGTATCGGGTGGCAGACCGTGATGCATCAACTTAAGGGCCAGAGATGGAAGAGTTGACAGACCCATATATACAACCAGAGTTGAATCCAGATCAGCAGCATTTTCTGCCACAAATAGAGGATCCGTTCCACCCTTTCTAGAGTGACCAGTGAGGAACCTGACGTTCGTTGCAACACCCCTGTGCGTTAAAGGAATCCCCAATTCAGCTGCTATACCTGAAGCAGCAGTTATACCTGCAAGGCAAACACATGTGTTCTTAGACGAGGTTACTCTAAGAATACTCTCCTTAAAATGGTGGTGCATAGACGTGACACTGAGAATCAAAATGCAGCAAATTCATGATAATTCATTTACTGATTCCTAGCATGAAGCAAAGCCAAGCAACATTGTAATCAGCAATCAACCTCAGACTCATGTTACTTGTGGCTGCTGACAGATTAGGAAAACTTTGCCATCCAAAACAGGAGGCGGTATCATGATTCAAAAAGAAATAAAGGCTCGGTAGTTCAGGTCCATACACGTCCTTCAGACATCGAGGTTGTGCAAACCTCGACTAATCTATGAAACAATTTTCTAACTCTGATTCTATTACATTTGATTGTCAATGAAACTCGGGATATTAAAACCTAGAAACTCAGGATATTAAATCTTACGTAGGTGGCAACCATGGTTTGGACCTATTCTCTTCAAGTCATTTGCTTTTAGTCATGAAAATACCCTCAAACAACCAAATCTTTCAAACAAATGGTGATGCAGAACACATTAAGTTAAGCTTCATGGAAACACTTAAAGGACTGAAACAGCATTCGGAAATAGGCTTACCAGGAACAATTTTTACTTGAATCCCTTTTTGTTGCAAGAAATCCATCTCCTCCCCACCCCTTCCAAACACCTATAAAGTACAATGACAAAAATTTCAGGATATGCCACTAAAAAAACCACTTGAATGACAAAACCATATTCAATTGCAGTTTAACCATTCAAAGTTTCCACTTACAAGAGGATCTCCTCCTTTAAGTCTCACTACTGTAGCTCCAGCTTCAGCAAAGTTCAGAAGTAACTCATGAATCTCCTCCTAAAACCAATTCCCATTCAGCAACAAGACTCAAACACTCAATACTCAGATAGATAAAATCACAAAGAAACATTCACCTGGGTTCTGCTATGGTAGCCTGCCGTTTTGCCGACATAGAGAAGCCTAGCATCAGGACCCACCAAATCCAGCACATCATTAGACACCAAACGATCATACAGAAGCAAATCGGCACTCTGAATCACTTTCACAGCCTTCAATGTCAAAAGTTCAGGGTCTCCAGGGCCAGTCCCCACTAGAAATACATTCCCAGGCCCACATTCTCCTCCATCATCGCACCCACCATTGACCCTCTTCTCCCTCAGCACCATCAGCAACCTCTTCAGCTCCGGCAGCTGCAAAGCGATGTCGTCCTGCCGTATTGAGTCGGAATCGCACGGAACGGAACACGACAGAGCAGTTGAAGCTTGGTCCGCTTGGTTCTTGTACACCCAATCGTCTCTTTGGTATCTCTTGATGGAATGTTTCTCCGTAAATGGGGAAGAAGAGGAGGAACAGTGGATTGAGGAGATGGGTTTGAAAATTGGGGTCCTGGGTGTTCTTGGGCGGGACGAAAACGGCGATGAAAGCGATTGGAGGTCGTAAACGCGAGCCATGACGGAGGGCAATTAGATGCTCAAGGATGGGAAAACGGGATGGAATTCAATAAATATTGGGATAACAAGAGGCGGCTGGTGGCTCTAATACTTGGACTTTGGAGAAGATGAGAAGGCGAAAAGGAGTGGCTTTTTGAGCTGCGGGAGAGACCAAATTTGCTTTGGACTGGCTCTTGAGAATTGACAACTGGGTATTTCAATTCTATGGATGGACTGGTTTCTATGAAATGGCGACTTGGGGGGTTTCTGGTGGCTTGGCTTTTTACTCTGTTCTCTTTTAGTTTTAATTCACACAAAATTGTTTTGAGAATTCTTTTCCAAGATGAGATTCGTTCTCAAATTATTACCATTTTTCCATTAAATTGAGAGATTCTCAAGTGACTGTTTTGAAAATTGCTTGTCTGTATGAAGTTTCAAAACAAATGGCCACCATTTTGTTTGAATCTCATAGGTGTTAGAGTTATATCGAATACCGACACGCTCGGGGCTCGACGAAACTGAAAGTATCAGCATGTTGAAACTTTTTGGAGATGGACGCACCAACTCGGTTTGTTCGGAGTAATCGAAAGCGGAAATCTAAGCCAACTAGACATAACCGAAACCTTGCAGACCTGAGGATTCCGACCTTAGGCCCGACAACCAACCTAAGGGCCCAATAGCCATAACTACGACACGAGCGGTTCCAATGGCCTTGTTCTTCGACCTGCGTATAAAAGGGACACTCTACCTCATAACTCAAGTTACACCTTGACAGCTGGTTCTAGTTGACACATGGCCGATCTATGGTAGCTCGATAGAATCCTGCATCAATAATATGATTCTTACTTATAGGCCTAAACGTAACTTGCAAGTCTAAATATATTTTCAATTTTTTTTTTAAGTTTATTTTGAAATTTCAATTATGGCAATTTGTTTTTAATTTTTGAGAAAATGGCATGATGTTTTAGACACTTGGATAATAGCATAAAACAATGAAGGTCGAAAATTGGAATCTCAAATTAAAATAAAATTGAAATTTTATAAAAGTATCACAATCCATATCAAATTCAAACTAAAATGTAATATAATAACATACCAAGAAAAATACTACATTTGAAAAAGAAAAGTTATAATATTTTAAAAAAATAAATATTAAATTTATGCCGTATAATAAAATATCTCAATGCATATTGTTTGTTGTAATAGAATTCTAATAGAACACATTCTAAGGGAGAAAGAAAATCTATTATTTCCTTCACAGTTTTTCATTTTAACAAAACATATACAATGTTGAGGCAGAAATTTGATCTATTAAGATTTTTCCAAATTCGTACCAATCTTCTAGAATCAAGGGATCGATGTAACCTGCAAAACAGAGTAACATTTGGACCGATGTGGCTTTTGCCACACAAATTCGGATACCTAAGTCAGAATCGAAGATGTAGAGTCTAAGATATTGGGTGTTCCAAGCATACCTCTAGGGTTCCCTCCATCTCTCTCTTATAGCAGTCCCATATGAATCCTCATAAATCTCAATCTTCAGACTCGTTACGAACGTAACAGCGAAACGGGAGGTACTGGGAAACGGTCGGATGGGCCGTTACAGTTCTCGGTTGGGGGCCGAGGAGGTCTCGACGTCGAGGTGCCTGGTCGGTGCCGAGGCCTTCTCGACGCCGAGGCGCTTGGTCAACTGAGGTCGACTCGAGTTGGCCCGAGTCAATGTTTTTTTGACGCTTACTTGTCCCGTGCGCTTCTTCACCCAATCTAATCTTTGCTTTTGTGTACAATTTAGTTTGTGACAGAATAAAATTAGCTTTTACAAATCATCCTTGTTTGTAAGAACAATTCTAAGGGGAAAAAAAAATAACAGACAGATGCCTTTTTCTTTTTCTTATTATTATTTTTTCTTTTCTTTTCCGAAAAGGTTGGCAAGACCTAGCTCAAATGGAGGTGGATAATTAAGAAGTATGCTAATATTCTCCAAAAACGGCAAAAATGAAAAAGAAAACGATGGGCTATTGAATTCGGCCTCGTGGGCTGATATATAATATATGGGCCTTAGCTGAATTGGGCCTCTGGGTCGAATAATCCCATTCGTTATAAAGGGCCTGGCCCATGACGCGGAACCAAGTAAATAAGCTCACGGATCACGATCATCTCGCGAAAAGCACTGCCGCGTGATTTTATGATTTGTCGGCTTTCCCAAATATCTACCAATTGTCGGTCAATTATAGTTCATAAATTTCTATTTTTATTCATCAAAATTTTAGCCTGATACAAGTTGTTAAATTATATCTATAAATTTGTATTAAAATTTTTTTATTGGATATAAATTTTGTTTTAATTTTTTATTGGACATTTTTTTAAAAGTGGAAGGTCGAATAAAATTTAAAATTTATAGGACAAAAATAGATATTTTGAAACTTTAAAAATTAAAATCAACCAAAGCCGAATATCATCATTTTTAATTACTTTACTTTCTCGGCCACGAATTGTGGTTTCCAAGCATAATAAAATCGCAGAAGAACCATTTAAATTATTAAACAAATAAAAAAATCGATGTCGAAGATCGTACTAAACTACCACAACCCGCCACGTGGAAAATGTCAGGCGTATTTCAGTCATTTCAAAACCCCCAAAGGCGGTCGCTGCATTCTGCCTTCAATCTTTGGTGCTGAAACCTCTCTTTTTGTCTAACCATCGTCTGTTACTCTGCTCTGGATCTGATGGTTCTGAGAGGAGACGTCTCTAATTCTCTCTGCCCAACCAAAAAATGCCTCAGATTTTCTCCTAAGAAACCGCGCGAGTATCTGAATCTCCTCGCCTCCCACATTTCGGTGCGTCAATTTTCTTGTTTGATTCAGATTCTTCAGTAGAATCTCCATTGTTTTAGCCTTTGCTTCCTCGCCCTCTTCTTATTTTCCAATAAATTCAAATGGGTCGACTTGATCGGTGCCTTAATCGAACGAAATTACATCTGGGTTGTGATTGATTTTGGTATATGTACTCATTTAATACTCTATTTGGTCGATTTAGCTTTAACATTGTGATGGCTCTTAGCTTTAGAAGCCAATGTGAGCTATTTTGATGGCATTATAATCCAATTAGCAACTATCAATGCTCGTTTTGTTCCATAATGTTGTTTGGAGTTGTGTCTATTTTTGGAAATCTTTTGCTCTCTGTTTCATTTCCTTTATGTTTGGTGTTGGATTAGTTTGAGGTTGTTTTTACAGAATGTCTGGATTTTTTTTTATGTAGATACACTGAGAGGCTTGTGATGGATGTTTGCTGACATGAGGGAACCTTAATTTTTCCAATTTATGTAATATAAGCAAGAGATGAAAGGTGGAAACATCGTTAGGCTGAGGGGGGGACATATTTCCATTGCTCTGGTTGCTCTTATGTTCATGTCCATTTTGTTATGGGCTTGGGATAAAAGTTATTTTGCCAGTTTACTTCCGTTGACAAGAGAGAAGTTTATGATGCCAGTTTCAGGTAATTACTCCAACTGATCATAATTCTGTGTTCAATGGTTATCTTCTTTCTACTCTTTAAGATGTTTCTTTTTAATATATATTGAAAGTGGGATAGATGTGCAAGACTTTGATGGGTAAAAATTTATGGAGATTTGAGCATTCTTTCTTTGGCAACTTGACTTGGATGTTAATGGGCTATGAATCTATTTCCTGGTTTGTAATTGGTCTGATCTAACACATGAACATTATTATTGTTTCTATAATGTAAAATTTGAATTATTTGATTGAGAAGTGAAACATGGAGATGTTTTGATGGTATTGATGATCTAAAGATCATTGTACTAATCAGCTATTGATTTGCTTTTGGCTCTGTCATGTTTCTTTTTTCCGGATCTTTTTGAATATCCAAAGTATTAACTTATGGATCAATTTGCTCTATCATGACTTAGAATATGTAGTGGACTTGTCAAATAGTTCCTCAACATCAAGTGAGCCTAAGGATGAAATGGCTAAGCCAGAGGATAAAATGGAGGAAAGAAGTAATAATATCAACGAAAAAGAAAAAGAAAAACCGGGAGAAAGTACAGACTTCTCTGATGCTGATTCTGTCTTCAAGTCCACTCCTGAATTAAAAGAAAATAAAGAGGGCGTCACCTTGTCTCCTTCCACAAAAGGTAGAGTTTAAATTCTCTAATTGTAAGCTCAGATTTCCTTGCAGTCACCGGTCCTTTATCATGCCATTATAGTTGTTTCTTTCTTCCCTATAACTCAAGTTTTAAGATGGCAGACACCTTGGTTATTCTTAATTTTTCCCCTAAGCAGAATTCACACCCGGATCAAACTGTTTAAATGCTCTTCATTCTCGTATCTAAGATATTGCTGCTCTTTCAGTTTGCAACTACGCCAAAGGTAGATGGGTTGAGGACAGCAGGCGGCCCTTGTATTCTGGATTTGGATGTAAACGATGGCTGTCAATAATGTGGGCTTGTAGACTTACAAAAAGAAAGGACTTTTCATATGAAGGATATCGGTGGCAACCGGAGAACTGCGAAATGCCGGAGTTTGAGCGCTCTGCATTCTTGAGAAGGTATTTTACTTTACGACCTCACGAGCATGTTTCGTTGAGTAACTTTCTTTCTTTGGTACAGTATCTGACCTTGAAATCATTTTGTGTCCCTCCGTGACCTCTGAGAAAAATTTGTGAATTATCCATAAACCTTGTTATTTCTAGAGATTTGAGTGTGATTTTTGTTTCTAGAATGCAGAACAAAACACTTGCATTTATAGGAGATTCCTTGGGTAGGCAGCAGTTTCAATCTTTAATGTGTATGCTGACCGGTGGTGAAGAAAGTCCCGAAGTCGAAGATGTAGGAGGAGAATATGATCTCGCCAAGCCTCCTGGAGCTCTTCGTCCAGATGGATGGGTTTATCGGTTTCCAAACACAAACACCACCATTCTATATTACTGGTCAGCAACACTATCTGATCTAGAACCTCTTAATAGATCAAATCCAGCAACAAATATCGCGATGCATTTGGACCGACCCCCGGCTTTGATGAGAAAGTTCCTCCACCGGTTTGATGTGTTGGTTTTAAATACAGGACACCATTGGAACAGGGGAAAGCTTCAAGGAAATAGGTGGGTGATGTATGCTGATGGAAAGCCAGTAGAAGAAGAGAAGCCTTTAGATATGGGGCTTGCCAAGAACTTGACTGTGTACAGCATTGTCCGATGGCTCGATTCACAACTTCCCCTGCATCGTCGTAATCTCAAGGTTTTCTTTAGAACAATTTCGCCGAGGCATTTCTTCAATGGGGACTGGAACACCGGAGGATCATGTGATAATATGATTCCAATGTCGGGCGGGAGCGAGGTTGTGCAAGATGGATCTAGTGACACTGTTGTTGAAAGTGCCTTAAAGGGTACCAAGGTAAAGATCCTGGATATAACTGCCATCTCTCAGTTGCGAGACGAAGGTCACATGTCACGCTACACTCGTAGAGCGATTCTAAACACGAGTGATTGCTTGCATTGGTGCTTGCCTGGCGTACCCGACACGTGGAATGAAGTTCTAATCGCACAGATATAGTTTTGCATCATTCTCAAGGAGATTTCATCATTCATTATTATGGTCTAAGAAGGCCAGAGTATACAAGATTCTTAGAAAATGACTGTAGCTGAGAATTTTTCAATCTACACCAATTAGGCTGCCTGAAAGTACTCTTGAAAAGGATGTTACTTTTAATTTTACCAAGTATTACACGAAGCAAAGAAGCCGAGTTAATTCGACTGGTAGCACGAGATTAGTTTCGATACCATTTTATTTATTCTCAAATGTCTACTATTCTTGGCAACAAATTTGACTCATATGATCCATTTGGTGAAGTTGGTTCTCCTAGTTGAAGCAACCCGATAGAGTTGAAAGGCGAATCTCTTCTAGAACAGCCTTCCTATGTCGATGTGTATTGTTCAACTCGAGGAACCTTGTTACATCAACTGAAATTTGAATGATGGATTTCAGATTGTTTATAAACTCTTTTGATTTGTTGGAATATCATTCTTTTCTATGGATCAAAAGTGTTCATCGACAGATTCATGATATTATCGATCGATCTCGATCCATATAGATAGGTATCTCCACGGATAGAGATGAAGACGGGATCAGTGACTAGATAGAGAAATTTATTGCTATCACGTTCTCCTTGCCTTGGCAATAATATTATGTTAAGAAATGTTCCAATCAAAGAAAGCATGAGGCAGTTTTATTTATCTCATGAAAGGCATGAACCACCACCCTTTCATGGAAGGTGGTTAAATTGTCATTGTTTATGATTCACAAATTCCAATTGTTTAATGCATTTTAGCAAAGCATTTCTTCTCTTTTTTATAAGCAGTTCTTAAAAAAATTGAGATACTTTTAATAATAAATTAAAGGAATTTTTAAAATATTATTGGATAGTATTTGGTTCTTAAACTTTTACGGTTTTCAATTTTGCTTAACATAGTTAAATACTTAGACATATAGCTTTAAAGAAATAAATTCTTTTGATGGGCAAAAATAATTTACTAACCCACCGACTTTTTGTTAGCAATTTTTTTTAATTAAAAAAATTTAATGCATTAAACCTAAGATTAATAATTTTATTAAGTTAAAAGTGAAATTACGAATTATCTAAGATATTGGAGACTATTTTGCCTATTTAAATTTTTTAAATTTCATGCTTTGTTTTAAAATTATAGAATTGAGAGCAATAATGTATCTAAAAAGTTATACTAAAAGTAGTTTTTAAAATAAATAAACAAAACAAAAGGCCGCTTGAATTATTTTAATATTATAATTAAGACCCATCAAAGATAAAGAAGAATCAAAACCGATTAAAGAAATCAAGAAATAAAAAATGTCATATATATAAATCTTCAACAAAAACAAATCAAACTAACAAAGTTTCTCCCAAAAAAAAAAAAAAATTCTCCATCATCATCTAAGAAAACAGAGCCTGAGGAGAACTCATTCTACAAACACCCATTCCATAACTAAACACAAATGATCAAAATTGTTATTAAACGGGGCATTCGTCTTCTTCTCCCACTCCATCATCGAAAAATCACAAGCGAGATAAGTTTGCAGAAACCGGGAAATGGGAGACGATTATAGGAGCTTTTGGGGAGCGAGAATCCGAAAGAGATTGGTCAGGTTTGTGTTTGGAGGGGTGTTGTTGGAGTTTAATGTTTGAATCTTGTTCCCCATGGGAGACCTTTGGGGAGAGAGAAGGAAGAAAGCAATCCAAGAAAGCAGAGAGAGAAGGCATTATTATTGTAATGTTTTTTGGGGATTTTAAGAATCCAAAGCAAAAGGAATTGGGGAATAGAGTAGTAGTGGGGTTTGAGAATGGAAGGAAATGAAATTTGAAGATGGTTTATTTATAGTGCAAAATTAGGAATGCAAAGTAGAATAGTCAAATTGTTGAACTTGGGGAACAAGTCCATAATGCAAACTTCCTTTTCCTTCTTCTTTCCCTTTTCATTTTCTAACTTTTTTTGGTACAATGTATCACACCTCTTTTTACACAAATTGCCCCCATCAAAATCGCTTGAAGAATATCCGATTGTTATTTAGAAAAATCGAAAATTTTCAATTTAAGTATATAGTTCAACTTGTTAAGATATACCAATAACATCTTTGAAAATAACCGTTTTTTTTTCAAACTCAACTAGACAGAAGTGGAGCTTAAAATATATATTTGTCACTTAAGGCACATAATTAGTACCTTAATGATCGTTATTCAAGTCGACAATATAACAAATGTGATTAGCATACTACTTAATTTTTGTATGAAATTTGGTGAAGTCTATTTCTTAAGGTAGAAGAGTTCTCTTACAAACATACAAACTTACAAACTTTTACCAAATTAACACTCTTCTTTTTCACTTCTCCTTCCTCTTTTGACATCTCCCATAACATATAATATAAAACTTTGTCCCTTTTTAACAACTCCCAAGAAAGAGTAGGTGGGTATAATATGGTGATGCAATCTCCTACTTATTTTTTTTTAGCTTTGTTTGAATCTTCCATTTTATCAAGTCTATCTTTAGGTTAGTCTAGAATTAAAAAGTATAAGTTTTGTATAGTTTTTTAATCTTTCTTTTATAGGTGGTTGTAGATTCAAATCTTTCTACTTGAATTGTGTTAAAAAAAACGTGCAACTTCGTAGGTTAGTTTAAAAAAATTGTATCTACATTCGTAACTTTAAGACAATAATTTTTAGTCTTTCAAAATCATTTTGAAGCCTATAGTCATTTCAGCCTGACTCCTAAACAAGAAACATCTCTTCTTTCGTTTCGATTTATTCACTGCCCTATAACTATTATAGTCATAGTTGTCGTTCACTTGAGTTTTACTTATCAACGACTCTCCTATTTTTATTTGGTCATCATCCAACTTCTTTAACCTTTCTAATCCATACTAAAGAACTAATAATAAACTAACTCACGTATCAAATATAAATTCTAGGAAGTTCAACTAATAAGTCAAATATCGTGTTTGGCTATTTGGATGGATATTCTCAAATCTCAACAAAGTCTTTTCCAAGTAAATTCCATTTTCATGGAAGAGAGTGTTTTGAATTTTCTATGTTTCTTCCTAATATTTGCTTGACTTTTAGTCCATAAACAAAAGGAGTCAAATTTGATGGAACAATGATGTAATGTTTTTTTTTTCTTTTGTCGTTAGAAAAAAGTGATGTGAATCATTTTAAACAAGATAGAATTAATATAGAAATAAAAATTTCAAACCTCACACGTGGCTATCTTTTTACAAGTGTGTCAATTAACCTAAACACGACTACATAAATTTATAATAGACCTGAACCCGGTCAAGATCGATGAACCAAAAGAATCACCATCTCGAGAGACATGTTAAAGATCCTACATTGGTTTGATTTTACGTGACAATTTATATTTAAATTTAAACACAATGTAAATCATTTACTTATAGTATAATTATTATGTTGGTATATATTTATCCAGTTACCTATTAACCTATGGTATTATGTTAATTAGGGATAAAAATAATATATTTTTAGATATAAATTAAATCAAAGAAGTAAATCGGAGTATGACAATGAAAATAATGTTGCTGGTAAATTTGCCTGAAAGTACACTTGAAAAAGTTGTTATTTTTACTTTTACCGAATATTACACGAAGCAAAGAAGCCGAGTTAATTCTCGACTGGTAGCACGAGATTAGTTTCTATACCATTTTGTTTATTCTCAAATGTCTACTGCTCATGGCAACAAATTTGACTCGTATGATCTATTTGGTGAAGTTGGTTCCCGGTTGAAACAACTCGATAGAATTGAAAGGCGAGTCTCTTCTAGTACAACCTTTCTATGTTGATATATGTATTTTTGAACTCGAAGAACCTTGTAACTTTCATATCGTGGATTATCATTCTTTTTTATAGATCAGAAATGTTCATTGACGTATTTACGATATTATCGATCGATTTCAATCCATATAGACAGGTATCTCCATCAATAGAGGGGAAGACGAGATCGGTGATTAGATAGAGAAATTTATTGCCATCATGTTCCCGGCAATAATCTTCTGTTAAGAAACGTTCAAATCAAAGAAAGCATGAGGCAGTTTTATCATCTCATGAAAGGCATGAACCACCAGCCGCTCATGGAAGGTAGTTAAATTGTCATTGTTTATGATTCACAAATTCCAATTATTTCAGGCTTTTCAGCAAAGCCATTTTTTTATAAGCAGTTTTAAAAAAATTGAAATACTTTTAATAATAAATTAAAGGAATTTTTTTTATTAACATAGTTAAATACTTTGACATTAACTTTTAAAGAAATAATTTTTGTTTATGGGCAAAGATAATTAACTAACCCGCCAACTTTTTGTTAGCAATTTTTTTTATAAATAGTCTAAATGAAAATTTTTAATGCATTAAACCTAAGATTAAGAATTTATCTAAAATATTGGAGACTATTTTGCCTCTTTAACCTTTTAAATTTCATGCTTCGTTTAAAAAATATAGAAGCAAGCTTGAATTATTTTAATCTTATAATTAAGATCCGAAAGAAGAATCAAGACCCATTAAAAAAATCAAGAAATAAAAAATGTCATATATATAAATCTTCAACAAAAACAAATCAAACTAACAAAGTTTCTCCCAAAAAAAAATAAGAAAAAAGAGAGAAAAATCTATCATCATCATCTCAGAAAAACAGAGTTGAGGAGAGAGCTCATTCTACGTACAAGCATCCATTCCAAAACTAAACACAAACGATCGAAATCGTTATCAAACAGGGCATTTGTCTTCTCCTCCAGCTTCAACTTTGGAAAATCACAAGCGAGATAAGTTTGAAGAAATTGGGAAATAGGAGACAATTATAGGAGCTTTTGGGGAGTGAGAATCAGAATGAGATTGAGGTTTGTGTTTGGAGGGGTGTTGTTGGAGTTTAATGTTTGAATTTTGTTCCCCATGGGAGACCTTTGGGGAGAGAGAAGGAAGAAAGCAATGCAAGAAAGCAGAGAGAGAAGGCATTATATTGTGTAATGTTTTTTTGGGGATTTTAAGAATCCAAAGCAAAAGGAATTGGGAAATAGAGTAGTAGTGGGGAATGAGAATGGAAGGAAATGAAATTTGAAGATGGTTTATTTATAGTGCAAAATTAGGAATGCAAAGTAGAATAGTCAAATTGTTGAACTTGGGGAACAAGTCCATGATGCTAACTTCCTTTTCCCTTTTCTTTCCCTTTTCATTTTCTAACTTTTTTGGTACAATGTATCGCACCTTTTTTTTAATATCGAGGAATATCTTATTGTTATTTAGAAAAACTGACATTTTTCAACTTGAGCATAATTCAATTCATTAAGAATACCGATAACATCTTTGAAAATAATAGTCATTTTCCCAAGTTCAACTATATGGAAGTGGAGATTTGAATATATATTTACCACTCAAGACAGATAAATAGTACTTTAATGAGTTAACAATTGAATTTCGTTCAAGTTGGCAATATGATAAACGTGACGAGCATGCTACTTAATTTTTGTATGAAATTTGATAAAGTC